ACTGCGGGACGACGTACGCTGGCAGAGATATCTCAGTTCCCTGCACCAGAAACGCTACTTTGGGGTGAGTTTTCGGGTGTTATTTCATCGTTTTCTAGTCCGATTTAGCATGGGAATAGGGGATATGGAGTCGTAAAGCATCGCATTGGGTGAATAACACAATGGGGCCCGTTTAATAGCTGTCAAAATTATCAAGACATTTGATTGTTCGTATGGTTATATTTTTGCGATATGCTGGCATTAAGCCTTTACACACGTCTCGTGGGATGAAGCCTCTCCGTATAAGGGCACAGGGGCCCCTCGACTTTCTGAAAAACAAACATTTCCTCGTATTAGCCGGTGGGAAAGTCCGAATCTTTCTGCAACGAGTGATTAATTGTCTGATGTTGATGGGGCCGCGAGGTTGAAACCGTCTGAAACTCCGCTGTGTAAATGTTGCGGTTAATTTCGCTGCTGAAATGACGCGGCTCTGGGTAGATTTTTTGACGGCCCGACCGCGGACCGGTTTGGATGCCCGTGAACTCCGTCAAAGTCACCGATACCCGAGGGCGAGTGTTACGTAAATACGCCGCCTGCACCGGCCACTACTCAGGCTTAGTGGCTGAGATGGTTTGTTAGCTGTCAACTCTGCTAGGGCCGCAGCCGCTCAAACCTGTCTCAGAATACCAATTGAAAACTCAGCCACCTGTGTCCCTTGCAATCTCTATCTCTGGAATATATCACAATGAACTAACAACCCTTTCCTCCTTCCTCAGGATCTTCTTGAGGGTTCGAAGGATCACTCGGCCCTCATGGAGAAAGCACGTCAGTATTATATTGGGCATATGCTAAAGGAAGACAGACATTCGGCGCCTGGAGATGTGGTCAAAAAGCTACTCGGGACGGTCAAGGTGGATCACGCCCAGTGGAAGAAACGCGAAGCTCAGCTTCCTCCGCCCGACGGTAGGTGGCAGCATGAAGACCTAATAGCGCCGAAGGAAAACACTTCGTTGATTGTAATGATGGCAGACGCGTTTCTGTCGATATTGCACGTTAATCTCGTTCGTTAGTTGCATCTTGTCGATAATTTCACATTTCATCTAGTCATTCTGTCTTTTTCTTCGTAAAATTAAGCTTCCTTTTAGTTCATCTTCGGTAAATATGTTCCACTTTTACGACATTCGTACAGAAATCTCCCTCTTTCCGAAGAATCTTGGACTAATTCCCCTCTCTCTCCTCCCCCAGATGACTCCTGGCTGGAGGTGTCAGCCGACCAGCTGGAGCAGCTGCTGCAGCAGCAGTTTGACCTCCAGCAGCAGCCGCCGCAGCAGGTGGCTGCTGAACTCCAGGAGTTCCTCAGCCAGCTCTCCGGGCTGGAGGGAGTCGAGGGCGACTCCGCTCCGGCCAGCAGGAAGAGCTCGCGCGCCCGCAAGGTGAGGAGAAAGACAGAGTAGAAGGGGCTGACGATCGAGGTTGTGTTGTAAAATCTCCTAATGGTAGTTGTGCTCTTATGGGGAAGCGATAATTTCCCATTTTCTCACCATTGTTCATCGTATGATGAACACCTATTGATGCAAGCATCTATGCGAAGTGAGCAATGCCATTTGCCCCACACCCTCAGTTCTTACGAATTCTCTCTCGTTCCACAGCCGAGTCGCAAGCTCTCCGCCGCCGTGATGCGCAAGATCTCCACTCTGAGCCAGGCCTCCACCGCCTCCGGCATGTCCACCCTGAGCCAGAAGATCGACTTTAACGCCGACAGCTTCACCGACGTCGTGCGTGGAATGCTGGACCTTGGCCTGGACGACGACGACTGGAGTGACGACGACTCCTCCGGCATGTCCTCGTATGGCGACGAGGACGAGTCAGCCGAGTTGCAGGACATGCTGAAGGGCTCGGCGGCCGGAGGAGATATGAAGGAGATCATGGCGCAGATGGATGACGAGCTGCGTGATTCGACGCTGGCTGAGAGCTTCGTGCGGGCGACCAAGGCTGTCAGGAAAGAGGTACGTTTGAGTTAGAATTGTTGGAGAGAAAAGCGAATGCCAGTCATATGGCGGGGAGGGATAAGTGGCCAGGGGCTGGTATGTTGGGGTTAAAACGCTATTTAGGTGGCACTGGAGAGTGCCGAATCAGTTAGAGAAAACACGATGTAAGGGATGTAAACTCAGGGATGCTTTCCGGTACGGATGTAATATTCGTTGTAGTTCACGATGACTTAGCGTAAGAGTTGCGTGCGACTTATTTGGGTGTTTTTACCGATTCATTTCCCACCCCATGTCTGTTCATTCTCTTAGCCATTATCGAAACAAGTGTTTGACGTTATCGTCTCTTTCCATTGCAGTCGGGAGCTTCGGATGCCAGTCTGGACGACGTCGAGTCCTTCCAACCGGTGGACATTGACGTAAACACCGTACAGAACCTGCTGCAGTCGCTGCAGGGCCAGACCGCTTCGGCCGGTCCCGCCCAGACACTGCTGGACAACATCACCAAGGACAAGCAGAAGCAGTAGTCGCCTGGCGGAGCAGGAGCCTCCTCGACTTCACCCAGTAGCTGAAGATGAGGGCGAGGAGTGTATGGTTAGACCGCCGCGGCTTTAGCTAGCTTGGCTTTGCCCTGTGGTGGTTAGACCACCCAACCAACCTACAACGACAACAGAGTATGTCCATATCATTGGAGTGATACGCACAAACTAAGCGCACTCCAAGTCGTCCTGTGACTGATCTTCGTTAGGGCATCGCCCTGACCTGAGACGTCCTTACACGACCTGACCTGACCTGCTACGATCTGCCATTGACCTGACATCCTCTGACTTGCCCCTGCCCTTCCTATGTCCTTACCTTACCTTGACCTGACCTGACTCGCTGTCAGGAATGGTCTGCTGCCCCAATCCGAAGAATCGCCGTCCTTGTCCGGGAGTCGTTGTTTCTCTGCTGCCTCGTGTCGATTTGGCCGCGCGTGTGAGAGGTTTTCACGGTTGTTCGTTCACCCAGTCATCATTCACCCGGCCCGCGGAACGCTCGTCGCCTCCGCTGCGCCATCTTTGTCTTGCCTTGCTGATGGGAGTGTGCGAGTGAGAGGGTGAGAGCGAGCGAGCGCGCGAGGGAGAGTGTGAGATTTGGCGTCACTCAGTCGCCCGCACGCTGTACATAGATTTCGTCGCGAGCCAGTATTGTGAGGTATGCGGAGGGTTCGGAGGAGATTGTATACATGTATACATATATTTGTGATAATTGATACGATGACAGGCACCGCACACACTCGCAGGCTCGCACTCGCACCTAGCTGAGGCGGACGCTGCTTGTGTCCGGCCTGTTCCGTTTGTACATATACGCTTAGGTGGCTCACTGTAAGCTGGGACAATTGCGGACTGGTGCCGCGGTTGAACCAGAGAGGTTTCGGAATCGTGCTGATGTTATTTTTTCTTCCTGGATTGGAATTATCACTTCTCAGCAGCACTGAAAGGTATCCGCTGGACCGGTCTTGAGTTTTTACTTTTTTACGCGATGTTTGTGCGCGCTGATGTTGCGTATTGTTGTAAATGCGTTGGCGATTGGGCGGCCACAGCAAGAGGACGGTGGTCGCCCTCGGAGATTGGCGCATGCGCAGATTGTTGATGCGGGATCTTGCGTGGTGGGAACGGGCATTTGCTTGTTGATTTATGACTTTGTGTGTGCCGCCGGCGAGTTGTCGCAAATGGCATGTGGTGAGAAGGGACGCTACCGGATGGACGAGTCCTTTCCTCGCCGAGAGTCCTCCCTCGGCGAGGTTCTGGACGAGTCCATTCCCTGACAAAGGGGAGGCAGTTGGGAGTGTTTCCCTGATCGAGAAGGCTCCGCTCACTCTGCCTGTGTAGTTTGTATTATTTATTTGTGATAATGAAATATATGTAACTGCACATAAGTAAATGTTTCTGTTGTACCGAAGTTGGAGCACGGGTGGGACTGGAACAGATGTGTGACGACACAAATGGCGTGTGGTGAGAAGGAACGAATGGGCGAGTCCATTTCGTGCCGGGGGAGGAACGGTGGTTTCGACGAGTCCAATCCGTGACCGGGGAAGGTAGTTGGAATAGACTCGTCCAAAAACCGAGATCTGACGCAATTTTGGGTTTGGACGAGTCCATTTCGTGACAAAGGGAAGGTAGTTGGAATGGACTCGTCCAAAAAACGGGATCTGACGCGAATTTGGGCTTGGGCGAGTCCATTCCGTGACAAAGGGAAGGTAGTTGGAATGGACTCGTCCAAAAACCTAGTTCTGACGCAATTTTGGGTTTGGAAGAGTCCACTTTGTCACAAAGGGAAAGTAGTTTGAATGGACTCGTCCAAAACCGACATCTGACGTGAAATTGGGCTTGGACGAGTCCATTCTGTGAAAAAGGGAAGGTAGTTGGAATGGACTCGTCCGAAAACCGAGATCTGACGCAATTTTGGGTTTGGACGAGTCCACTTCGTCACAAAGGGAAGGTAGTTTGAATGGACTCGTCCAAAACCGACATCTGACGTGAAATTGGGTTTGGACGAGTCCATTCTGTGAAAAAGGGAAGGTAGTTGGAATGGACTCGTCCAAAAACCGAGATTTGACTCAATTGGGGCTTGGACGAGTCCATTCCGTGACAAAGGGAAGGTAGTTGGAATGGACTCGTCCAAAAACCGGAAACTGACGCGAATTAGGGTTTGGACGAGTCCATTCCATGACAAAGGGAAGGTAGTTGGAATGGACTCGTCCAAAAACCGGAAACTGACGCGAATTAGGGTTTGGACGAGTCCATTCCATGACAAAGGGAAGGTAGTTGGAATGGACTCGTCCAAAAACCGAGATCTGACGCAATTTTGGCCTTGGACGACACCATTTGGTGAAAAAGGGAAGGTGGTTGGAATGGACTCATCCAAAAACGACATCTGACGTAAATCTGGCTTTGGACGAGTCCGTTTTTCTGATCCAGAAGACTCCAGTCCGTTCCGTTATAGTTTGTTTTATTTGTGAAAACTAAATATGCATTATTTCTGCACACATATAAATTACAAGTGTGTAATTGTATTTCCGCTTAGTCATTTACAAAATACCTCAGGAAGTCTTCCCTGGACGGTCTTACGAGCATTGTACAGCACGGTGTAGCACGGTGATATTTGACAAGCTACGAGACAACTTCGACTCGGAAAAAGCGAGGAAGAACCGATAACTTAAGCCATAAGAAATCGAAGAAAACGAAAAAGATTCTTCATACAACACAAATCCACATCAGTAGCCAATAATAAAAGACGTGTGTACAAAACGAGTACCACCGCGCAGCAGGTCTATGCGCAATGTACGAACACGTTCCCTACAACCTGTTCCGTAAGCACAAAGAGGGATTCTTTACGAGCTGATCCACATGAATGCATTTCTAGATAAAAACGATTGTTCTGGGCGCAAAGAAGAAACTACCAATCGATAAACTTTGCTGTGGGCCGTGATTTCCAACAGGCCTTTCACCACTTCCTATCCCATGGCTCAGTCGAACGACATGCTAAACGATGCCACTCGCTTTTATACAGGACCGGCCAAAAACACTTACAGAGGCCAACGTTCGACAAATTAACTTTCGATTGCATCACGTTCGATTGCAGTTGTTGTAGTTGGTTTAAACCTTATGTTGACATAGAAATCATCCCATCTCGTGAGTTCGTAACGTCGTCTGATTCTCCTGCAAATCGGCCCTTACCTGACACAGTGCATTAATTAACAGCACAGTTTTAAACACACAAAATCCCAAACGACCATCCTGAAGAGCATACGCGAAAGCACCACAACTTCGTCAAATACCTATTCCGTCGCTCTATCTTCAGAGCTGTTCCCATATCACTGTTTTCAACCACCACTTTCCAAAGTCGCCAATACACATTTAGACACCGAACCGAACATCCAACCTTGACCGTATCTCGAACCTTAGTTTACGAGTTACGAGTGAGTTTACGAGTTCTTCTGCGGGATGGCGGTGACGACCGTCTTGGTCTCGGTGTAGTTCTGAATGCCGTACGATCCCTTCTCTCTGCCGTGGCCAGACATCTTGTAGCCGCCGAAAGGCAGCTGAGACGAGAACACGTTGTACGAGTTGATCCTGTTGGAAGAAGAGAAAGACGTCAGGGTCACGCTGAGGTCATGGCGAAGTCAGAGATGGGGTTGAGGGGTAAGATACAGCACTGGTTTCTCAGTCAGTAACGAGATATCTAAAATGACGGCAAACTAGGTAGATTTTGAGGTCTTCCAGTGGTCTGATCGGGATCTAATCAGCAATGCAGGGGTAAGATCAAGAGCATGCTGATCCATCAGTCGCAAGGAAATACAGAATACGACGCCAATGTCACGGACACGCTTAACGTTAGCGCATCCCTAGACAGACTGCCGATTGATCCCTCTTCTCTCTAGAGTTAGAGCACTGGCTGCTACTGCAGCCGGTGGCCCTCCAGATGAACTAGACGTTATGGTGGGGACCCGCTAGGTGGCTCGGCTTCACAATGCGACGGTTTTGCGTCATTTGAACTCAAACTAAGATCCATAACACGACGGTACAGTTTTTGGCAGGGCCTGGGCACCAGGTAGTAGTAGTAGTAGTAGTAGTAGTAGTAGTAGTAGTAGTAGTAGTAGTAAGTGTATTGAGACCGTCCACATGGTGGGTTTTCAGGTGTCGCGTCAATGACAAATATAACACTACATGGGCACATCGCCACAAATGCCAGCAATATTTTATCGCAAACTATACTGATACATGCTATTGAAATAAAAATGTACCTATAAAAGTGCATTAAAATGTATCCGAGGAGCAGAGAGCCGGCATCGTCACCGCAGCTCGCGGACAGCAGTTTTGAAGCCTCTCAGGGTCGCGGAGCCGCGTATGGAATCGCTGAGACGGTTCCAGCCGGCAGCAGCCCTGTACGCGAAAGTACGTTGGCTTGAAGCCAGGCGATACCTACGAAGGTGTAGACAGCCGCGTTCCGCGGAGCGCGTGTTTCTCGCGGAGACTGCAGCGCGAGCGGTGAAAAGGCCACTGATCTCAGGGGGAGCCCCGTCCATCTGTAGCACCTTGTACACCTTAGTGACGTCACGGAGCGCCACCAGGGTCTCCATCCTTGACCAGTCCAGATGAGCCAAAGCTGGTGTGATGTGTTCATACTTTTTGCAGCCTGTGACTACTCTTGCCGCGAAATTTATGATTTTTTGAATTTTGTTTATCTGGCTCTTGGTGGCCCCGCCCCATACGCACAGTCCATATGTAATATGCGGAAACACATAGGCTATCGGAAACACATAGGCAGGTAACACCGTAAGGTTCGCCAAGGCCAGGTCAAAAAGCCAGGTCAAAGCTAGGTCAGACCATGGTCCCCTCTAGGCTCAGACCAGGACAGGGCATCAAGTTACGATATCACTATTAGGTCGAACCGGGTTATGTCTGAAAATGGCTGGTCTCAGCTCCCACTCACTACTCAGTGCTAGTCCTTCGTCACTCACCAGCTCCAGTCCCTATCCAGTCCCAGTCCATATCCCAGTACCTGTACCTGTATCAGTCCCAGTCCCTACTGCTGTCCCTTACTCACCTCACGGTTCCTGCCTGCCGTCCCTGGAGCGTACGGTCCCTGCCCCACCCCTGTTTATTTTCCGTCTCACCCCACTCACTGACGGACGACCCTCTACTCACCAGACAGTGCCCGCTCGTAGTCCATGGGCAGCACGATCTCTGTCCAGTCCCTGTTCCTGGTCCCTGCCCGGTACCCCTGATCCCTGCCCTTCTGCCCAAGTATCAGCCTGCAGTCCCGCTCAGACCAATACCCGCAACAAGTCATTTACCACACGGTTCCCGCGCGCAGACCCTAGGCATTGTCCTGTCCCTGACCCTAGTCACTGTCTGATCACTGTCCCAGTGTTCAAGTCTCTCAACAATTCCTCGCGCTGCCCTTCACTCACCACACGGTTCCCGCGCGCAGTCCCTGGGCAGTGCTCTCCCTCTCCGACCCTTGTCCCAGTCCCTGATCCATGTCCCTGCCCCTAGTCTCTGCTCTAAGTCTCTGTTATTGCCCCAGTCCCTGCCTCAAACCTGTCCAGTGCCTTCCTTACTACGTTACGCCCTACTTACCACACGGTTCCGGCTCGCAGTCCCTGGGCAGTCCGGTTGGCCAGGTCCAGGTCTCGCGTGTACACGCCGGCCGCCAGTCCATACATGGAGTTGTTGGCTCGCTCGATGACCTCCTCAACACTGGAGAACTTCATAATCTGCTGCACCGGGCCGAATATCTGCGACAGAAACACGAGTGGCAGGGGTTAGATATGGGGTATAACGAGATCGAGAAACTCCTAGAGTGCCTTGCTACCTTGCTAAATTATCTTTTATCTACCTTAACCCGGCACCGCCTGGGCTATTTCCGTACCCACGACAGCCTGGGGGGGGGGGGGTCGGATCCGACCCCCCCCCCCCCTGTTATCTCGAGAACCAATGGTCGTATCGAGCCCCGCGAGGCGGCGTTCGAAAGGTCTCTACGAGACCTTCCCAAAGCACTCTTAAGATTTTAAGATTGAGGTCAACTTTCGGGTCAAGGTCAGGTCAAAGGTCAAATTCAGGGGTTTTGCATGATTAGGCTTACGGACAGCGGAATCGATAGCTGCTGCTCGAAACTCACCACAAATGACCTCAAAGGCCTAGTGAAGGTACCATGTGCGTATAGGGGTCATACTACGTACGGGTCAAGGTCAGGTCAGGTCACGAAAGGTCACGGTTTTCACTTTCTGCTACATGGGCGTGCGACACATGTTTTATGGCTTATTTTTCACGCCAAATCCGATGGTAATGGTTATATGTGACCCCAGGTCACTATGCTGGTGATAAGTGTGCATTGAAAGCATAAAAAATCGTTTATACCATACATAACTAAACGAGGGCTAAGAAAAAAAGTCAAGTTTTCAACTTTTTATTTTTGACATAAAAATGCACTTTTCTAGACGAGCTTTGTCCCAGGAATCTAGTGGTGCCATTTGTTTTCACATGCGATGTTCAGAAGTGCCTCTAATTCGCGAAAATGCTTATGACGTCACCATGCCCTATGCATGTTGGAGCTATTTTTTACAATTTGGGGGTCAAAAATCAAGATAGAAAGTTGAAATTTGGGATATCTAATGTTCTAATAGAGCTCTATAACATATATTCCGGTTTTTTGGAAATTCTCAAAATTTTGGATTTTATTAGCTGTTTTCCAAAAAATATAGTTTTTTGAATCTTTAGGGGTCAAAAACGCATTTTATGGAAAATCCGAGATAGCCATTTTAAAGAACTCGTTGAGCTGCGTCTTTTCCTGTCCTTAATTTGCAATTTGCTTAAAACCTCGATTTTTGGCGATTTTTTAAACATTTACCACTTTTTGACTGAAAACGCCATGAAGTTACATCACTAAAATCGATATATCTCAAAAAATTTTGAAAATTTTTTCTTAAAAATTGTACAGGAGACGTCAAATTGATGGGGGAAAAGGTATGCCAAGTTTCAAGTTGATAGCGCAAGCGGTTCATGAGTTATTCAAGAAAAACGGAGGGGGTGGGTCGGATCCGACCCCCCCCCCAGGCGGTCGCGGGTTAACTATCTTGCGGCATGGTGATAATACTGCACGGGTTGATACGGACCTACGTTTGCTTAGAAAGTTTCGCAGAGCTCCCAGAAACTCTCATGTGTGTCTGATCATTTATAGTTATTCCGCTCTTCTTCGCTATGCGTAGTCAAATTCAAGACTACATAAAATGGCAGGTTGGTGGGCTTGAGTCGCTGTCTGAGCGAGCTGGATGCTTTCGAAATGTTTTTTGGCGTTATTATTATTGATGAATATAAAAATGCTCCTTACACTGTTTCTATACACTAACTGAAGATGAAGTACGCTATAACGATGAAATATAAAGCTGATTCCTTGGCCTACCGCCTTCTTGCCCTTGACAGCAAGTAGGTATGCAGCTGGCATCTGTTTATGCTAAACTGGTCATGGCGAAGCTACGATAAACAGATCCCAGTCATTGCTCGCGGTAAACAGCCAGCATGCTTCAAACAGAAGCAAGATGAGATGCAAATGTGAGTGCCAGCCTACATCGAGAGCACCGTTTTTAGCTGCACTTACGCATCCCACCCGCTAAAGATAATATTAGGTATGTGCTTAGTAACAAGATAGGAAAACACGATAGGCGAATCATTGAAGCATTTTTTACGCTTAATATTGAATTGATTCTAGAGTTAGGTACAGCGTTAAAATATTTACATGACCACACCCTCCTGTGGGTTCGATTGCAAAGTAACGTAAAATCCCCAATCCCCCTGCACTTTCATCAATAACTTCGAAACCTACGGGAAGGCAAGTTACCTACGTGTCGCACACCTACCCCTGCGCTCCTTTCCCACCCACCCCCATAGCTGGTGGGAACTGTAAAGAACTGTGGGTAATCACGCGCCGCAAATCCGCAAACTCAGCGCGTCGGCTTAGCTTTGGGGTCGCAGCAAACGGCGGAGGTCAAGGTCATCGGCGCTGGGGCGACCGATTTGTGGTGCCCGAACACCCACAGTTCCTCAACATTACCCCCCCCCCCCCCCGCCTGACCCCCTTACCTCCTCCGTAGCGATTCTCATGTTATCCTGCACGTCTGTGAAGACAGTCGGCTCGATGAAGTAGCCCTTGTCGCCGATCCTGGCTCCACCGTGCGCCAGTTTCGCTCCCTCCTTCTTTCCCGACTCGACCAGGCCGAGAATCTTGTTCATCTGGATCTCGCTGATCTGGGACCGAAAGAGGGGTTAGATAATAAAAAAACGATTAGTGGACCTCTAAATGTTGCAGCTTGTCTTTCGAGATCGGGGATGGGATACAAATTGATTGAGTGCTGGTAAAGTTACGAAGAGTCTGTTGAGATGCAGAATGCTTAGGGCCGTGGTGTCTTCACATACATGGTTGATGTTCTTTGCGTTATATCAATAGCTACGTTATCCATAATCCCTTAATCAAATAGCCATTCATCGTCCTATTTTACACCAAACCATCAATATGCGTAGCAAGCTTTATCGAGGATTTAAACAGCACTAGCCTCACAACCGGCCCGTTGGCACTACACACCTGAGGTCCCTGCAGAGTGTTAGGGTCGAACGGATCGCCCACGGTCCTCTGCCTGGCCTTCTCAATGCTCCTATGCACGTACTCATCATAGATGTCCTCGTGGACGAAAATACGAGAGCCGGCGCAGCAGCACTGGCCCTGTGGAGGGGAAGGGGTCAAAGGTTAGAGACAGAAGTCAAGATCAGCTTTAACTCAGCGTTGTAGGTCAGATAATAGGTCAGATGCGAGATGACATATGTGAAAAGGAAGAGGTCAGAGACCAGAGGTCGGAGACTACAGGGGTCATGGATCAGATCGTACGACGTGGTATCCTTATGTTCCTCATCGTTGTAAAATGCACATAGTTGTATGCATAGAAACACATAATATAAAGCCTTTGTGAGAAGCGGGGACCTTCACTTTCCATGCACAAACTCATTCTTCTTTAAACTCGGGACCCTCACTTCCATGCCACAAACTCATTCTTCTTTTAACTCATAAACATAACTCGAGCTCCCGTACTGTTGGTATAAGTACACCAGGCCCAACCCCTCACCATGTTGAAGAAGAGGCCGAAGTGTCCTCCCTCCACCGCCTGATCGAGGTCAGCGTCCTTGAAGATGATGTTGGGAGACTTTCCGCCCAGCTCCATCGTCACCCGCTTCAGGTTGGACTTGGCGGCCAGCTCGCTGACAATCTGACCGACCTGCGGTCAGAAGAACGGTCAGCGGTTAGATTACAAATGGAAAGTCGGGAAAGGTGAGTGGGGTTTCTGAGAGCAGCGAAGAGGGCGGAGGGTGGTGATATTGGGGTTTGGCGACGTTCGGACCGCATTCGTTGTTATCAGCGCTCCGTTCTAAGCATTACGGATAACGCAGTGTTGCTTCGAAAGAGCAGGACTTCAGTCAGTAAAGTCAGTAAAACAGCATTCATTAACTGGAGTACTGAATAGAAAGGTGCGACGGTAAACGAGGTGGCTCTGCTACAATTTGTTTCTAGCTATGGAATATTTGCAATATCTCCTTTTCAATTATGACCAGTGCAAGTTTATTAGGGTGCCTAAGGCGTACTGTATGATTTACATGAATATGATGCGTATCAAACCATTGACAACATTTTTACACTTTCCCTTTCTCCCGCGACTAACCTCGGTTGATCCGGTGAACGCCACCTTATCGACCCCCATGTGCGAGGCCAGGGCCGCACCGGCAGTGGGGCCGAACCCGGGCACGATGTTGACCACACCAGGAGGGAAGCCGGCCTCCTTTATCAGCTCGGCCACGTACAGGCCGGTGAGGGGAGTTTCCTCAGCGAGCTTCATCACCACAGTGTTACCTGCGGGAAACAAGCGGGGTAAAGGGGATAACGAACAGACCGGTGAGGGATGTTTCCTCGGCGAGCTTCATCAACACAGTGTTACCTGTGGGGTAAAGGGGTAAGGATAACGTTCAGTGGCGCATAACCGGGCGAGGGGCGTCTCTTTCGCGAGCTTCATCACAACAATGTTTCCTGCGGGGACAGGTGGGGTAAAGGGGGTAATATTTCAGTCATATACAGTTCGGTTAGGGGCGTCTCTTCGGCGAGCTTAATCACAACAGTGTTACCTGTGGGGGAATAGGGAATCATTCGGAGTGAAATGAATGACCTTATATAGCATTCGAAAATGGTATTAATCATTCTTATTTCCCTGCGGAGAACCGCTGGGGTTAGGGAGAGGAGAGAGCAAGAGTGAGAGCCAGAATGAGAGAAACATCTACAGCGAGACAGCCAAAAAGAGAGAATGAGAGCGAGACATCGGTAGAAAGAGTGGAGAGAGTAGTACGTACCGGCGGCGAGAGCGGGCCCCAGTTTCCAGGCCTGCATCAGCAGGGGGAAGTTCCAGGGGATGATCTGAGCGCAGACGCCCACCGGCTCGTGACGCGTGTAGCTGGGGGTACAACGAGCGGGTCATGATGAGTCAATTCAGGTCAGGTCAGGTCAGGTCAGGTCAGAGGCCAAGGTCAGGTCAGAGGCCAAGGTCAGGTCAGAGGCCAAGGTCAGGTAAGGTCAAAGGCAATGGGACAAACTGGTCACTCATTCACTCTGCTTCTTGAAATGTATGCATGTATGATGTTCAAGTTTCGACAACCCTTGCAAATTTACTTCAAAAACTTCCCTCTTCAGCTCCGCCTTTACCGTCCCCGAATCTCCTTTCCTCCAACCGCCCCTGCCTTTCAACTTTCCTCCCTTAATCCGCCCCTGCCTTCTATATCTCCACCCCTGGCTCCGCCCCTGCCTTCCTAATCCCCTTCCCTGACACCGACACTACCCTACCAATCCCCTTCCCTGAAACCGCCTCTGCCTCCCCAATCCCTTTCCCTGACACCGCCCCTGCGGTGACCTCGCCACTGACCTGAAGTTGTTGCCGTCGGCGGGGATGACCTCGCCGGTGATTTTGTCCGCCCAGCCGGCGTAGTAGCGGTAGTGACCGGCGCTCAGAGCTGTGTCGGCCAGGTAGGACATGTTGTACGGCTTGCCGTTGTCCAGCGTCTCCAGACTCTGTATATAGGTCGTGAGGAAATGCAGTGTCAGGTCAAGTCGGGTCAAGTCATGAAGCTTAAAGCTTCGGTGGCTGTGCATATTCTACCATCCATACGAAACTCAAGGATATGTTTTGGTAGCTTGAGCGCGATCATTAGACCGGGACAAATTTACTCATATAATAAAACATTTGAAGCGATCGCAAACAAATCTGGCATTTTTTGCGAAGATGTGGCAGCCTTGTTGATTTGTTTTTGTTTACTTATTTGCCTTGATCATGACTAAGAAATTATCCACAAACAGCTGAGGGGCTATTTTTTACTCTGGTCTCCGGCCGTCTTGTAGGGATCAGTGGCATTACGCTCCCTGATATGTCAGCCTGTCCTTCCTCCCTCCTCTCTCCCCCCCCCCTCTACCCACCGCCAGGTAGGTCTGATCGCGTTCAATCAGATCCGCCAGCTTGTAGAGCAGTCGGCCACGCTCTGACCGTCCATGGTCCGCCACGGGCCCAGCGGACGCCTCCTGGGCAGCCTTCAACC